GCTTCGGGTTGCGAACAAATCAGGTTGCGACCAGAGTCACGGAACGGATTAAATTCGTAACCCAAGGTACCACTGTAAATGAAAATATACAATTTGGGTAGATTGCAAGTCCTAATTCTTAATAAAACAAAAATGACATATTTCAACATTCTATCCTTGAGATGGCCTGAACTGCTTCACTGGTTCAATACAGATAGACCTCGTTTAGCGACTACAACTGAGACTGGCAACTCGGTCACTAAGTGATGTCACTAAGTGGAATATCATGTGATGCAACTGTGTTTCTGCTTTTACTTGAGCTTTCCTTTTTCTCTACTCCCCTGCCTTTTGGAACGCTCACCCTGGCACTGGGATAATTAGCAAGAAGGGAATTAATGTTTGTATTTACATTTATTGGAGAAAAAGGGATTACAAGAGAATAAGCAGGCACACAATGGGGGATACACATAGAAAGGAATGTGCTAGTGTTTGTCTAGCGCCCTGAGCCACTTAGGAAGCCAACAAAAGCTGAAGCTGTGAAAGTGAATAAAGTTTTGTCAGTTACTGGCAGCAGCTGGGAGTTGACTAATTAAGGTGACAGAGCTGAGCTTGTTAACTTGTGGTTAGCACCTTTTGGGGACGCACCCTGTTTCACAGAAAAGCAGCTTAGGAAGAGATTGTTTGTTTAGGCAATCTCTGCTCTGCAAAGGGGGTGGAAATGGGTCAGGCACAGGATAATGTGTACTAACTGTAATGGCAAACGTGACTGAGTGAGAGATGTTGCAAAATTTGTAAATGCGAGCTTTGGTTGCAAAGTTACTTTTTCATCACTTGTAAATTCGAACAGTTGCTGCCCGAGGCATTGCTAAATGAGATCTACCTGTATCTTCAAGTAAGCAGCATAGTTCAAAAGGTGTCATAAAAAACATAGTGGAATACTCAGTAACTTGTCCAGATGTGAAAAAATATAACATTCAGAACATCTGTTGGAGCTTATTTACAACTTGTTACTGAAATGTGACTCAGAAACCAAATATGTTTAAATATTTTATGATCAAATGGATGTAGGATTTCAACAGAACAATTGATGTGCAATAATGGGAATACCAATGGAAGACATATATTAAATCTACTGCAAATATTACACTCAGAAAACTGGCACAAGATGTTTTATCATTGGTACAGGTAGTCCCCAGTTTAAGAATGAGTTCCATTCCCAGGATCTGTCCTCAAATTTGTATGTAAGCCGGAACAGTATTTATGATACTGTACAAGTAGTATTGTGCAATTAACTTAAACCATTGTGTATTTAACTCGAATCATTGTGTCCTTAACTTGAATTTTGCTACAATAGACTCCATTCTTAACTATGGGTCATCTGTAAACTGGGCGTTCTTAACCTGGGGACTACCTGTACATTACTCCAGTGCTGATAATTCAGTTTCAAAAGCTACTGGAAATGCAGTAATCAATTGGATCATTTTTTCATATTTGGTGCAGTGTTGGAATCTTAACAATTCTGGAAGATGATTTGTTACAGAATGAAACAAATCTTAAAGGTTAATTTTCTTTCCCACCAGCTGTTTTGCTGCTAAACATCATCAAACTGTATATTCTTACAAAGTATACAAAGTTGGCTTTGGTTATGATAACAGGTGCCCAGACACTTTATGCCTCATAATTCTTTCTTTAGAAGAATGGCCAATCAAGTTGTGGAAATATGCATCAATGTGGGAAAAAAAGGCTAATAATTTAATTTAATTTGGAAACCATTTATGGATTATAATTCTCCACATGGACTTGTATCACATCCAAAATTTGGTTTCTGTTAAGATAAGGTTTTAAAATATTAGATCTTGCCTGATTTGATGCAATAAGGATAGGCTTTCTCAGACTAGAAAAAGAAATTCATTAACTCTTCTTTTTGATCAATGATTCTTATATTGGTTACTTCTGTTGATTTTTGAATATTGATTTGATTTTAATAATGTTTTTGAAGAGCTACATTGATGTAAGATCACCTTTACATGAATAACTACTTTAATGTTATTTCTAAAGGTTTTATTCAATTTTATATAGGTAGTAAATCTCTTTTCTGTTTCCTTTTTGCTCCTCTACCTCTTTTTCTTGGTTGCAGTTTATATATCTATATACACACACACACACACACACACATGCATGCACACATGCACACTGCCTCAACTCTTTAAGCAACTATCTGCAAATACCTGAATGCCCTCACGTGGCTGTGTACACCTAAGAGGGTAAAAGGATTTATGTGGATTTTTAATGAGGTTTAAATGGAACAGGAGAAGAAAGTAAAGGTGGTAGACTATAATTGGAAAGGACATTTTAAAGAGAAATATCACTGAAGTGTTATACAAAACTGAATGTATGTTGTCTTTTTAAAAGGGCTATAAAATATATGTTTAACCCTTTCCCTTAAACTAAGATATGTTATGTCTTTATTGGCTCTTATTCTTTCCTTGCCCACCACTAGCAATAAAATCTCACATCTAAAAGGTTTTTGCCAGTGGCAGATAAATTCTTACAGTCAGGTTCTGCAAGATTTTATTAATCAACAACTCTGTTATATGAATATACACAGATGTACCATGTAAAATGCATTTGAAGACATCCTTGTGATTACAGAACTCACTGACAGGTAAATACTTTGTGGCAGACAAAAAAAGGAACAAGAACCTCTTTTTTTTAAAAAAAGGAAAAGTCTTATTGATAGAGTAGTTCAGTGTTGGTACTAATTATGTTTGACCATAGGGCCTTTGCAATTTACTTTTAATCTTAGAAATGCTATGAAAAATAGATTTAGATGCAGATTTGATCAAATTCAGCTCTGAAAATCCCCAGAATAAGTTTTCATTTTTGTATCTTTAATTTGGCCACAGATGGATAATTTATATGCTTGACACATTTAGTATTCTACATCAGATATAATTGGAATACAAATGGAGGAATTCCCACTCTTGCCCCCATTTCTGGTTTGTTTGTTTTTTGATAAGGATCTAGCATGAGAAAAGCTATCAGATAGGAGAACTAACAAAACAAATACAGAGAAATAATTTTATGAATAAGTACAGTATATAATAATAATGCTTTATGTAGTGGACACATTTTTAAAATTGGAAGGCAGCCTAATCCTAAGCAGTCTAAAAGCTTGAAAGCTTTGAAAAAAATATGGTCTTTAAATCTGTGATTATGAACTCTAAGACTAGGGCATTTATAATGCAAACATATGTATGGTTACACAAAAGTATATTCCACTGAAAGTGAGGTTATTCTGAGTGTTAGAGCTATAGCCTATGTGAACAGTAATTCCTGTCCTACTGAATACTTAGGCTAACATAATTTATACTTAAATGCTTAAAATAAGAATATCATTTCACCATATTAAAGATTCAAAGGATGCTGTGGGGTCAGGAAGTGACCTTTTATCATCCAGATTATAGAATGATAAGATAGAAATAAAAAAAAAGAATCAATTCAAAGGCTGTTTCTGATTCTCCTGGGATGTATTATGTTTAATATTCAGAAATAGAAATAAATGCATTGGCTTTCATTGCTGTGCATTCTTAAACAACATCTAGGTTCTGAGCGTTGACTTTTAACAAACTATAGTGGCCTGATTCACATATAAAGCTATGCTATCAGCTGGTTTTCAAACTGTAGTGGTTGATTTTACTGTAAATGGTGTTGGGTAGTAAATGGTGTCAGTTACTCAGCACATGTAACACCACTACTCTGTGAGCTGCATTGGTTGCCACTGTGCCTCTGGGTACAATTCAAGATGCTGCTTGCCACCTTTAAAGCCCTTCATGGCTTGGGTCGGGGTTACCTGAGGGACGGTCTTTTCCCAGTTGTTTCTATCAGTCCAATCCAGTCCGGCAGGATGGGCACACTCCAGGTCCTGTTGGCCAAGAAATGCCAGCTGGCAGGGCTCAGGAGGCGTGCCTTTTCTGCTGTAGCGCCCACTATATGGAATATCCTTCCTCTGGAGATTAGGATGGCCCCGACCCTGCTGGCCTTTCATAAGGCCCTATGTCTGGGCCTAGGGCCCTGAGTGTGTGAAGGGTCCCATCTCCTGGTTGTGTTAACAACCATGGATTGTAACATTCTCCTCCGCTGCTGTGCGCATTTTAATTTTTGTATTGTGATGGACATTTGTTTTTATTTTATGAATGTTCTCTGGCCAGAGTCACTTGTTGAGATGGGCAGCCATACAAATTAAATAAATAAGCTGAAACAAAGCAAACTAAAAGCAGTGTGCAAATTCAGCAAATGTGTGAAATAATCCTTTAAATTACAAAACTTGCAGATGGTTTAGTTTTAATCTTAATATGACTTACTATAATTTCCTTTTGTATGCAAGAAACTTCAGAACTAGATATCAATAAAAGAGGGAATATTATTTGCAGTTTTTCATAACTAATCATGTAGTAGAATAGATTTTCACTATATGAGAATCATGCCTGATTTAAGACCTACACATTTATTTACATGTTGCTGCTTTTTACATACATTCTCTTTTAGGCACCTCCTTGGGCATATATTGCATGTGCTTGTGGCCTTTTCATCTATCAGTCTTTGGATGCTATAGATGGGAAACAGGCAAGAAGAACCAATAGTAGTAGTCCTCTGGGAGAACTATTTGACCATGGCTGTGATTCACTGTCCACAGGTACTGCACTAGATAATGCTCTATTAACTATTTTTTTAAATAATAACTTTATTAATTTTTTTAAAAACACAGTAAAAACTAACAACTAATATTAAGAAAAGAAGAAGAAAGAGATTATTAAAAAAAAAAGAATAATAAAGATCAAAAGTGCAAGAAAAAAAGAAAAGACAAAAGACAAAAAAAGAATTGACTTCCAACCCTCCTTGCAACAGATATAAGTAACACCATACATCAAACTCTTGCTATCAATTTACAACATAACTTCCATTGTTTCTATTAACTGATATTATTTCTAATTATCAAATCCATACAACATAATTTCATTTATTTCTGTTTCCCGCAAAAAGTCCAAAAAAGGTTTCCATTCAGCATTAAAATTATACAATGTCTTATCTCAAATCAAAGCCATCTATTTTGCCAGCCAACTCCATTGGCTTCACCATCCATTCTTCCATTGTAGGTAATATCTTCTCTTTCTACCTCTGTGCATATAAAAGCCTTGCTGCTGTTATCATATATAAGAACAAAGTTCCATAAGTTTTTTCCAACTGTTTATCCATCAAGCCCAAAAGGAAAGTCTTTGGTTTTGATTGAATATTAATATTTAAAATCTTCTGTATGCAAATATGTATCTCATTCCAAATTTTTCATTAAAGCTTTGATCCCCTTCAAGGGGTCCTCCAGCACCAATACCAAATCATCTGCAAAGGCTCTCAACTTATGTCTTTTATATATTTTTATATCTCCCCTCCCCTCCCCTCCCCTCTCCTCTCCTCTCCATTCAAAACTTCCAAAACTAAAATAAACAACAAGGGAGACAGTGAACAACCATGTCTCATTCCCTTTTGTATCTCACATGATTTAGTTAGGTCTCAGTTGACAATAACTTGCACTTACTGTGATGTATCAATCAATTTCACTCCTTTTGTAAAGTTCTCTCCAAAGTTCATATCTTCCAAAACTTTGAACATAAATGGCCAATTTAAATTGTCAAAAGCTTTCTCTGCATCCAAAAAAATTAATGCAGTTTTTTTTATGCTGTTCCAAATATTCTATAATGTCCAACACCATTCTAACATTATCTTTTAATTGTCTTTTAGGTAAACATCCACATTAATCTTCATGAATAAATTCTTGTAATATAACTTTCAGTCTGTCTGCTAAAATCATTGTGAACAGCTTATAATCATTATTCAATAATGATATTGATCTATAATTTTTAGAGTCAAATCTTGCCCTTCTTTAGGTAATAATGCCATATTGGCCTCCTTCCAAGGTTCTGGAATCCCACCTTCCACCAATATAGAGTTCATCATACATTAAAGCAATTGTAGAATTTCATCCTCAAAATTTTTGTAGTATGATCCCAGAAGCCCATCTGGTCCTGGTGCTTTACTTGGTTTAATCTGTTCTGTAGCTTCAGATACTTCCATTATTGTCACAGGTCCATTCATAATCTGTCTTTGGTTATCTAAAAGCTTGGGAAAATTTTGTTTATTAAGTAGTTATCTATTTGCTCCAGAGAGAGTTCCTGTCTTTTATATAAACTGATGAAAATTTTTTAGTCTCATTGTCCATTATTTCAGTATCACCTTCTTGAAGTTTCATAATCATTTTCTTTTCTTTCTCCTTCCCTAATTTATATGCCAACCATCTCCCTGGCTTATTTGCAAATTCAGGTTTTTTATTTGACATAGTTTTTTTCCAATTCTCTTACTGATAACATAGATAGCTGTTGCTGTAAAAGTTTAATTTGGTTTGAAATACTTAACTTTAATTCATCCTCTTTCCTCTTTATCTCCTCCAAAATAGCTTGAATTTTCTCTTGATTCCTCTTTTTGAACTCAGTGTTATGCTGTATGAAATACCCTCCAATAAATGTTTTGCTTGCATCCTAAACCATTCTCAAGTCTGTACTTTTATTTAGATTATTCTCAAAAAATTCTGTTATTGCATTCTATTAATTTTTTTACAATCTTTCACTATCTCTTCCTTTTGCAGCAACATTTTATTTAATGTCCATCTGAATGAATTTGATTTTCTTTTAAAAGTCCAACTCACTGGGTTATGATCAGAAAAAGTCTTTGGTAAAATCTCTGCTTTAGAAGTATTAACAGCCAAAGTCTTTGAAACCCAACATCTATCCTTGAGAAGAATCTGTGTCTGTCTGAAAAATAAGTACAGTGGTACCTCTACTTGCGAACGCCCCTACTTACGAATTTTTTGAGATATGACCAGCTCCAGCCCCAAAAATTTACCTCTACTTACGAACTCGCCTCGACTTACAAACCGGATCCGCGGCCATTTTCCGCCCGTGCCACGTGGTCCGTGGCCATTTTTCCGCCCGTGCCACATTTTTCCCCCTGCCGCGTGGTCCGCGGCCATTTTCTGCCCATTCCACGTGGTCCGTGGCCATTTTCCCGCCCATTCCACGTGGTCCGTGGCCATTTTCCGCCCGTTCCACATGGTCTGTGGCCATTTTCTGCCCGTTCCATGTGGTCCGTGGCCATTTTCCACCCGTTCCACGTGGTCCGCGGCCATTTTCCACCCATTCCACGTGGTCCGTGGCCATTTTCTGCCCGTTCCACGTGGTCTGTGGCCATTTTCCACCCGTTCCATGTGGTCCGTGGTCATTTTCCGCCCGTTCCACGTGGTCCGCGGCCATTTTTCTGCCCCTGACATGTGGTCCACGGCCATTTTTCCGCCCTGCCGCATGGTCAGCGGCCGTTTTTCCACCCCTGACGCGTGGTCCCCGGACGCTGGAACGGATTAACGGTAATTACATTGAACCTTATGGGAAAATTTACTTCGACTTGCGACCAACTCAACTTGCGATCAGAGTCACGGAACGGATTAAGTTCGTAAGTAGAGGTGCCACTGTATATTGTTTAGAGTTGCCATTTTTCTGTCTCCATATATCCGCTAGAGATAAATTGTCCATCAAATAAGAAAAAGTCTTAGATAATTTACCATGATTCTTTTTAACTTCTTTCTCTGATACTCTGTTCAGTTGTAGGTATACCACTTCATTCCAATCTCCCATCAGGCACCAATTTTCATAAGAAAAATTTATCAGTTTTTCCATAAGACATTTAAAAATTTTTCCTTTATCTTCATTTGAAGCATTAAGTCCCAAGATTAATGTTTTAATTCAACTTCTACTCCAACAAATCTATGATGTTCATCAGCCAGTACTAATTTTGATTTTAATTTTGGGTTAACATATAACACTGACTTTTTTAGCCCTGCCGAAATAAATTATTTCCCCAAATTCTTGCAAATCAAATATTTTATGTCCTTTTTTCTAATAGGAGTCTCATGTAAACAAATTACATCTTGTTTAAGTTTTTTTAAATGATGAAACACTTTTCTTCTCTTTTGTGAAGCATTTGCTCCATTAATATTCCACATTAGCCATTTGTAATCCATAATTAAGCCAGTAGTTTAGAAAAGTCTATACCTGTGGCACTCAACTCAGAGTCCTATTTTTCATCTTCCTCCTGGACTTGTTTGTTTTTTGAGATTATCTACTCATCTTCCTCCATTTGCACCTTCTCCAGGTCGCCTTTAAATTTTTCCAGAAACTCTTTGGCTTTAAGAACAGAATTCAGTCAAAATCTTTTCTGTTGGAAAGTAAAAATCACTCCCTCCAGTTTATCCCAATGAAACAAAATCTTCTGTTTCAATACCTCCATCAAAAAAAGTAGTGCTTTCTCGTTGTAAAATTCTGGTGGGAATTTCTTTTAATATAATTATATCCACATTGTCAGTCTTCAATCTAGTATTGAAATACCATTGCAAAACTTGATCCCTGGTCCTTTTCTTTGCAAAATGTACTGATACATCCCTTGGTACATGTCTTATTGCTGCATGGTGTGGATTTACCCAATACACCTTGTCAATCTCATCTTCAGCTTTTTCTTCTCCCAATTTAAAAATTCTGCCAATGCTTGAACCACCCTTCTTCTAATATCTTCCCCTGAAATTTGCTGCTGCAATGCTGTCTCTGCTATTTCGAAGACACCCAAGCCACCATTAATCCTCACTGGAAGTCTCATCTATTAAGTAATTTATGTGAACTAAAAGTTTTCTAAAATCTGTTGGTGGTCTAATAAGAATAATTTACCCTGGTTCTATAATTCTCATCCATTTGTCAAAGCTTTGGTAGTATTTTACAAAGGATCTAGTTTCATATTAGCAGGCTGCAGCCTCTAACTGACTTTGTTTGGGAAGCTAAGCATAGTTGGGCCTGGTTAGTACTTGCATAGAGACCCCCATGGAACTCTAAGGCTATAGGCTAGGCGGGAGAGTCACAAAATCATCCTGGAATAAGGCAGTGACAAACTATGTACCCATCAAGACTCAAGTTTAATGCAAGGATACCCTTACCTTTTTAATTTCATAGTAAGTAGTTTAAATCTTAGTTTAAGACTGAAGTGCTTGAAATATTTGAGTATTTAAATTTCCTTAAAACTTTAAGCCACTTCCAAGATTTTATGAGGAGAAAGTACAGCTGAGCCAAAACTATAATACTTGCAGAGCATGTGATTTCAGTGGCTCCCTTGCTATTTTATCAGTTTTCTATGCAAGTCATGGGCACATATAAAACATGTTCTGATGCCCTGGACATTACAGCCCTGGAGCCTTATGGCATAACCCAGGGAGTTTCTGCTGAACCAAGATTGGAGATAAATCATTTGGGCTTTGGAGGAGGGGGGCTTGTTATAGAGTTTGCTTGTGTGTGTGTGTGTGTGTGCGCGCGCATGCACACACACATATGAATATGTGCATGTGTCCATGCAGACTTTGAAAGAGAGTTGCCTTTGCTCTATCTGTGTCTAGTGCTGATCAGATAAGCTAAAGACTGTTTGCTCCCAGAGCTCAAAAGCATCTCCAAGCTGTGCCCTGTAACTCAGGAACAGAACAGTTCATTGCATTTCCCCAAAAGCAACCTTCATAGTATACATGTATTGTGACTCATGTGCTAGGCCATGAAGAAAGTGCACAAGCACTTAAAGGACACACTTTTTCTTTTCTGTTGGGACCATTTTGTCATTGTTGTTAGATATTCATACTGACATGAAAATTGAAACATGATTCACTGTTCATAAGAAGCCAGGAGTTAAATATGATGGAAAATAAACCCTTACTAAAGATTATTTACCTTCTCTTGCCACATTATTAAGCGTTCCCTAGTAAATAAAGTTATGAAAACCAATTTGGTATAGTGGTTAAAGGCACCAGGAGACTGTGAGTTCTAGTCCTGCTTTAGGCACAAAGCCAACTATGTGACTTTGGGCCAGTCACTCACTCTCAGCCCTAGGATGAAGGCAATGACAAATCATTTCTGAAAATGTTGCCAAGAAAACTGGATTTGTACAGGCAATCACCGGGAGTCAACACTGACTCAAAGTCACACGCATACAAAACCAAATAGAGTAAAACTTTTACAAAAACTGCTTACTGAACTACTGAAATGGCAAAGCATACTCTAAAACCATCCTGTTGGAACATTGCTTTAGTAGTTGAGTTTGTGCCCAACTTAATTGTAAGCTTTGCTGTGCTGTACTATGATAAGTAAAGAAATACGCAAAGGCCTTTATATGTATATCTTACTAAGAATGCTGATGTAACTGTTGCAGCACAAGCTGCTGTTTGGCTATGAATACAGATAGTCCCCTACTTACAAATGGGTTATGTTCCAAGAGGCTGTTCGTAAGTCTGTTTTGTTCATAAGTCCAACAAGCAAAAAAAAAAAAAAAGTGGAGGCAGGAAGCAGGGCAGTGGTGTGGGCAGAGGAGCCCTATCTTCTGCTGCCAATGCATCGCCAGATGAGGCAGGAGAGGGGGTGGTAGCAGAGGAGAGGGGAGCGAAGGATGAGCCAGTGGGGTGTGGCACGCTCCATTGCTGGGCAAGGCAGGAGACCTCCGCCCCCTCTCCTCTGTTCTCTGCCACCACCCCCTCTCCCGCCTCACCTGGCAACGGAGCGCACCGCGTAAAACGAACCTTTTCTGGGAACTCCAACTCCAGTGCAAACCTCAAATGCAAACAGAATGCTGGAGAAGGTGGGAAAGGGTTAGTTTGCAGCGCAGTGTAAACTAACCCTTTCCTGCCTTCTCCAGATTTCCAGTTCCAACTTCCAGCCTGACTTCCGGTTCTGACTTCCGGGTCAATCCTGTTCGTATCAGTGAAAGTTCACAACATGAAAGTTTGCAAGTAGGGGATGTCTGTAGATTATAACAAATTATACAGTTGCCATTTTTTGTGTTACTGTATATTTACTCATTTCTCCTGCCTTTCCATGATCTCTTGTCAAACTGAGTTGGCATTTGGTTTTTTTGTTGTTGTTGTTGTGATTTTAGTAGGCATTAACTTTTAATAACACAGCCAGAAAAACTGCTGCAAGGTCATAACAATTATTGTGAATATTTCTTTTTAAAGTACTCCAAGGGGGATGCACAACACTTGAAAACAACTGCATATCAACAGCCTTTTAGAGTGCTTGCCGCCAATGACTAGGTTGTACCTTTCCTAAGTAGATGGTGCATAATAGAAAAATATGGGCAAAAGCATTTCTCTATAGCTTTTTATAGAAAAGGATGTATGGCTGTTTACAGGCACTGTGTGATCTAATCCATGTTTTTTTCTCTGTTTAGAATCTCATATACTTAGCTGAATTATAAAAATGATACAATTGAACTTGCATTATCATAGTCAGATTTCAAGTGGGGAATGCAAATCAAGAAAGTTTTCATACATATTGAGATTCAAAGGAGACAAGATTCAGTTCAAATGAGTTATTTGAAACTAGGGTTAATTTGAACCAATTTGATTTTAAAAGGAACCATGCACTATAATAGAAAGGATCCAAACTCTTGCAGCTACCTTATTTTTTGACTGAATGGAATAAAATAGCAGGAATGGTAGACCATTTAGAAATATTAGCTCTGCAAAGTTCAGGCAGATAGCTTCAAGGATTTCACTACAGTAAAGTTTTGCTATATTGCCCTGTGCCTCTAATGAGCTAAAGGCAGCAACAAATGAGGGCTGAGGGCTGTCCAGCAACAAATCTGTAGAGAAAATATATTGAATTAACGCCGACTGTTTTTTAAAAACCTTTCAAACACTAATTAAAAAATAAACTCTTACCAAAGAACAAAGAGTCCTAAGACTCCCTGATCACTTGTTTTTCTGGAATGGCAGGCTCTGGAGTTGGCATGGCTTATTAACTATTCATGTTACTATCAGAAGGCCCATTCAGTCTCCACCCCTCCCCTGCAGCTTTGCTCATGTGGAAGGAAAGCTGCGCAGTACTTCTATAGACAGAAAGTATAGTAAATCCATAACGCTTTAAATCTCCTAAGCAATTTAAAGGCATCTCATTCACCTCAATCAAACTGCTTTTGAAACTTGATTACTCTTCAGACTGAACCCTTTAAAGCTTTGCTTAGTGCTCAGTCTAGGATAACAATGTCAGATCTTGAAATTAGGTTGCCTGTAAATGGTCAAATAGTGCTTGTGGTGCAATTTTATGCATGTCTGGAAAGAAAACCTGTTAAATTAATTATTATTAGATTTTTATCCCACCTTTTATTTATATTTGTGTGTGTGTGTGTGTGTAAACTCAAAGCAGCAAATATATCCAATACTCCTTATTTTCCTCACAAGAACAACCCTGTCAGGTGAGTTGGGCTGAGAGAGAGTGACTGGCCCAAAGTCACCCAGGCAGCTTTCATGCCTAAGGGAGGCCTAGAACTCACAGTCTCCTGCTTTCTAGACCAACGCCTTAACCACTACACCAAACTGCTCTCCAAAACGTGCTTTAAGATGATAGTCTAAATCAGATTTCAAAATTGATGAAATTTTTAATTTATTTTCAACTTAGGAACAGAGTGAATTCAAATGAAACTGAGAATCTAATATCTTCTCTAATGTAGTTAATTAAGAGTTCTGAAGTTTGTTGCCATGTATATTTTTTGTATTTATTCATGGTGACATTCTGTTAGCACAAAACTTTTACCATTTGTGGAAATCTTATTTTCATTCTTGCACAGTGTAAAATGTAATTGATAGCACTTACAAAAGTTGAAGGCAACTCTGTTGTCTTTTGAAGCAAATGTTTGTTGTGAATCTTATACTTTCCAAAATCCATCAGAAACATAATGAGTGAGAGGACAACTTACTTCTTAGAAGTTATTAAACAGCCATAATGATCCACTAGTGAATATGTGCCTTTTCTACATCTTAGTTTTAGAATCTGTAATCGATACTAATTTTAATTTATTTTATCTTCAGTCTTTGTGGTTTTGGGAACGTGTATTGCTGTGCAACTGGGAACAAATCCTGACTGGATGTTCTTCTGCTGTTTTGCTGGGACATTCATGTTTTACTGTGCACACTGGCAGACGTATGTCTCTGGAACATTGCGCTTTGGAATGTAAGTAAATTAGCTGAGAGAGATATTTTGCTATCATACATTTTATTTTCAAGTCCTTAAGTTAAAAAACATGTATTTCTACAGCTGTAATTTATGCTCTGAAATGTATCTTGAAACAGTATATCCATAGCAAAACCAGAATGTATTAATCTGATCTCTCATTCCATCAGCTGGTAATTTTTCTGTCACAGAAAATGTAAAACAGGTATTTTGTGGTATGGAATGATAAAAATTGATTAAGTTGATGAGGAATTAATTAGTGCCATAGAATTCCATTGACTAGTAAACTGAATATGAAGCATTGACTAGTACTAACAAATATGGTAGAATAATTAGTATGAAAAATAATAATAATATTAATACAGCTGTAACACTGCAATTACAGTAGCCATATGTTTGGGGAAATTATTCAGATATAGAATATTGAAAGAACAGAATTGTATTTTCACCAACAGCAGTTCACATGGGCAATCCAAAGCACTTATTTCTTGTTACAAGAACTTACACATTTTTCTGTTATGTGTTTTCATTTTATTTTGCATTTATGTGCTTTCATATACTGATGCAATCTAAGATAAAAATTAAATAAAAAATTAAATGAGCTACAGTTCAGTGTTGTAAAAATATTTAAAGCAAGATAGATGCATTTTTTCCAGATTATTGTTTCTATTAAAAAATTAAGACAATTCAAAATTCAGATATTTTTAAAACAAGTATTCAGATATGCTGTAAAGTGCTGAAACAACAATCTGTTTGCTCAAGCATGTGTTAAACTTCTGAACTTTTTGACCCAAATTTAAGCCAAGGGATATATTTTAGCATTAATGCTATAAGCAACAGTGGTAGTAAAAATGCCTGATGCCAACTGCTTAATCAAAGATCCTTTCCTTTGGAGCTACATTGGTTAAACAGTTTTGATAAAATATTGAAGGTGAGTTAATAACAGGCCTCACATTTTACATTTTCTAAATCTTTTTAGAAAAACTGAAACATTACAAAATGACAGCCAATTTAAATTTATTTTGAGCAACTATTGAAAATTTAAAAGAAATATTATGAAGTAGGCATATCAACTAGAAAACATAAATGCTACATATTGTTGTATAAAGTTATGAGGTAATATCTACGTAGATATGCATAAGGTTATTACTTTCAGTTCAAGTGTTCTATTATAAAGTTCTAAAATGAAACCTTATGTACAATCTTGTTTAAATCTGTTTAAATTCAATGCTGACTAGATGCAGTAACAACTGATCTTGCATATTAACAATTTTTTTTTAAAAAACCTTTCCTTTCATGGCTGATAAGGTATGGTTCATTTGTCATTTACTATGTAGTTAACAGTATCTGTATTATGAATAATCAATTAGGGTCATGATAGATGTGTGAAAGTCAGATGTGGATTTCTTTTTTCAAAAGCTACAAAGTCACTGCTTGGCTGCATTGGTTCATGCTGCTAATTGTATAACCTTCTCATCCCAAAGGTAGGGCTACTAGTTTAGAAATAGTCTTCATACATTTAGCCATTTTGTCCTTCATATCTTGGTTGTAAGACTAAAAAGCATTGGTACACATATTATGCAGAACCATAAGATACTTTGTTTGGTTTCAGCTTAGTCACTGAATGAATCCAGCCACTGTGGTTTATAAAGGATAGTTTTATATTTTAATATATTGGATGAAGCAATCCAATTTTCAACAACCATGGTTAATCAAACAGTGGCAATGTGTGAACCAGCTTTAAGATCATGGATAACAAATTTCTAAAATATAAGACTCCTTTTATTCAATTTGGAGCATTTTAAGTAGTAAGGTGAAAGAAAGCTGTATTCAAATGTGTGGCCTTTTTTCTGATCCTCTTCACTTTCTGAAGCAATAAACTTTAATTGATTTCATGTGAGGTTTGAGTTCTGGGGGAAAGTAAATCAGTCTGTATATTCACTGTGATCAATACATTTTCTCAGTTTCAAATTCTTTTTTTAAAAAAAGAAACATTAAATATTGGAGCTAGATATTAAGCATAGATGCGGGAACATATCCTAAGGTATAAAATGCTTCTTCGCTGAATTAAGAGACAGCAAGATAATGAAAGTTTCACAACTTCATTGTATAAGTATGTACTAATAAATATAAATTACATGAAATATCTTCATAGATTCTTCTTGTGATTTATTGAAAAAGAAAGTCTAGAACAGAATTTATGTGACTAAAACTTTATATCTTTTCATGAGGGCATGCTTTTATTTTAAACACGTGTTCAGGCTACATAAATATAAAATGTACTATTTTTAAAAAAGTAATAAAATTATAAAACTAAAATGTTGCCATTAAAATATATAACATTCCATTTCAAAGTACTTTATAACCTATCCTGGAGATCCTAAATATTCTGTTCTGAAATAATTTTACATGATTGTAACAGAGATGGTCATAATAGAAAAGTTAAAATGAAAATTATTCTTTTCATTCATTCATAGAGGAACAGCTTCTGATCCTTTCTGATCTCTTGGTGGTTTTGTAACCCAAATTTAGAACTACTGCTATAGATTACCTAAAGGATTTGCATGAGGCTTATGTAATGGCCTTGAAAATGTAAACTGGATTTGTGTGAGATTTGTTTAGCAACTGTTAAAGAAATTATATATTGCCTTCAAATTATTTCTAGTCTCCCTATTTTAAAATACTGATTGCAATTCATGACATTCAGGAATTTTGCCATGGATTTCAGGTGATGGGGATTGCTTCCCTTATAATTGCTGTTTTCCTCTCTTTGTAATTTTAACCTTGTAACTTTTTAAAGATTTCCTATGATTTTTAATCCATTTCTTCAGTTATGAGTAAAAATTTGCAGTCATGGAACTTTCAAACTGAAGATCTCTAAAAGTGTTCTGAAATGTTCTTTTTCCCCACACTTGTAGATTTGATGTAACTGAGTCTGAACTCTGTATTATAATAATTCACCTTCTAACAGGAATTCTCAGATCTGAATTTTGGAATAACACAGTAACTGATAAAAATTGGTTTTGCCCAGGAAGCAATGATGTAAATTCTATGGAAGCAGCCCTTTTTTGTCATGCACACTAAAATTGGGGGGGGGGGGGGGGG